GCCTGCTGTGTTCATCCAGCTCTACGCCTTGGAACTGCAGATGCTGGAGAATCTGAGATAACTACTATCTCTAATCTTTCCTTCTAATTGCTTTGTCATAGGATTTGGTCAAATAACCATTCTCTGTAATTGCGTTAGAAGCAGTTCATTGTTTCTCAAGGAAGGAAACTATAACTATACACAACATATTAAATTTGGTCTCAGCAATACCCTGCACAACCGTAGCAAAACTTTCCTACTTTTATGCTGTTCGATAACCATGCTACAATCTCCTTAATAATAGATTCCCAATGACTAAATGACCTGTAACTGCCAACTTTGTCTCCCTACTTTTTTTGCAAAATAGCAAATGTAACTCAATTCAATCTGATGACACCTTAACAGAATCCAGCGAACTTTGGAAAATGCATCTAAATCAACAGCCATATCTATTTTCCATGACTGATCTGTATTGGTGTTTATTGTATGGCATATGCAATGTACTTAGAATCCCCTTGCCTGCACAACTGTGGCTCTGTCTGACTTTGGACAGACTGTAACTTCCGTTTCTTCCTTGCATTTGATCTAAGCTATGGTAAGATCATTCCCTCAATGTGAATCCTATCCATCAAATTCATCACTTCTGAGGAAAAGGAAGTTACTTCAGCCTATTTCACAGTTACATTAAGTAAAGTTGGCATCTTGGGTGGAAGACTATTTTTTGATAACCTAACTCCTTGATATTGGTGGGAGGAATATGGCCTAGCTCACTATCCTAATAGTTTATGTAAAATCAAAATACAGTAACAGCACCTTTTTTCTGCTTCAATAAACCAGCTTGCAGTTTTATACCAAACTACTGAGTGACTATAGGGACATGTTTTTGATGCAGATCTTGCTTATGATTAAGTACTTCAAGAGTTTCATGGTGTTTTTGTGAATATGAGAAAGGATCAGTCTGTTTGAAGCATAAATGTCTTTCCCAGTTTGTGCACAAATTCCCCCTGTTTGTCAGAGCTCATGCATTTGTTTTCTCTGTGTGGTAGTTGATGGAACCAGCGCTGCATTAAGACTGCCGATAGGGAGCCTCTTAGGACTTTGCCACAATCCCTGATTGACAGAGGGCCAAATTTTCTTTCACTCGCTGGTCTTAGACAATTTTTGGAAAAACACTCAATGCTGGCTAACACATCTGAGCATGTAGCCTACTTCTAATGTAAACATTCGCAGAAACCAGAGTTGCATTGAAGGAAGGTCAAGTTTAAAAATTCCATGATATTTTTACACTGACAATGCTGAGCAACTTCACCAAGTTTAAAAAAAAATCACAATGGAGTATACATTCCAGGATATTATATAGTCATACATTTCTATTTATAAACATTTTAATTGAGGGATCAGAAAAAGTATCTTCCTGTCATGCAGATAACTGTGAATATTGAAAATAGCATTCGAGTGACACTGAGGCAGCAGAATCAAACAGTAGTCAAGGTTGAGACCAGGGCGAGGGAATGTTTGAATTGAATGTTCTTGTGCATTGGTTGATGAACAGTCTTATTTTCTTTCCATTGAGGCTTTGAATTTGACTGCTGGTTGAACACTCCTGGATGGCCACCTTACCTACCGGACCTTTCATCTGGTGATACTTTGATGAAACCTGCAGAAAGCTTGGCAAATCTGTGGCTAGCTGCAGATCTGAACATGGATGCTATCAAAGCCATTGATATGTCATCATGGAAAACCTACCAGATAGTGTACTTCCTTGATAAACTCCTGGAAAAATCACCTTTACCTCGAGGTAATAATTCATGATTATACCTGTCACATAACAAAAGTTTAGAAATTCCTAGTTACTTAGAGTAACATATGAACCATAAACAGCTTCGACAACATTTAGACCAAGGCCAGTTACCATTAAATTCCTGAAAGGACATATTTTGAATCTTTAAAATTGTATATGAATAAGCAATGAATTAGATGCAGTGCTCACGTAAAGTGTTATGATCCAGCTGGTGGCCTTTCAAAGGAAATTCAAATACCTTGTACCATGTCTTCACCAATCGATTTACACCACAAGATTTCATTGCACTCCGCTTTACATCCTGCTTCTCCTGCCCCCCAGAATTTGTTTTTAAATGCATAAATATTAACATTTTCTAATTTTATAGAAGCCACCCTAAGTATGCCACTGTCCTCTAAAAAATTTTTCAGTGACAGCTGTTCTCAGGTAAAGCATCCATATCTTCTCTCCTGATTGTGGATGGTCAGTCCCTTTCTATTTGGTTACTTTTCCCACAATTCCAGGCTAATCTGCTTGCTTTATTTGCATCGAGGCGCTACAAGATCTACTGTAAATTTTTACAACTGTTGTTCTCCAGATTCAAACTGAGATTAAGCCTCACTCGCTTTCCCATGATGAATTAGCGTTTTACTCTGTTCAGTGTGTGGGTCTATCTGTCATTTGTTTTGACTAATTTCTGTATGAGCTGCAGTCCACACTGCAACCAAAACTTTCTCAGCAAACACCAAGATAAATTGAAAGCAGAGTATCTTCTTAAATATCATCTAGCTCCATGTGGCATATCCTGCTCTGGGCTGATGTTTCGATTTACAATTTCTTCTTTGATCTGATGAAACAAATGAGTTTTACAGCTGTTCTGAGGAAAGGGTCACTAGACCCGAAATGTTAACTGATTTTTTCTTCACAGATGCTGCCAGACCTGCTGAGCTTTTCCAGTAGCTTCTGTTTTTGTTCCAAGTTTTACAACATCTCAGAGTTCACTTAAGCGCTTTTAAAGTAATTTAGCTTTACCTCCCAAACACAAGTTTTGAACTGCACTTCTTGTAACCACGGCAGATGCTTTATATCCAGTTCTTTAAAAAGCAAGTAAGCCAACTGCTATTCCATACCCCTCTCTCAGATCATTTTAACTTGCAATTTGGATGTTATATTCCTAAAACCCATAAACTACTAGATATTTGCAAGATTATTCAAATGGATACATTTTAAACAGTTGACCATTGAGCTCAATATGATTCACAGTCTATTCAACCTCTCAAGCCTGTTCTGTCATTCGTGACTGATCAGATTTTTAGAATTATTACTTGAGTTAGCAAACACTACTTTCTGTGAGAGTTCCACACACTTAATCTTTAGGATAGTATGGCCTTGAGCAGTGTATAAGTTCTAAACCTAAGGATCAATTCATAGTGAATATTAAAGGGCAAAAATGATCTGTAGTTATGTCATCCTTAGTACAATGGTAGTGCTGTTACCTCTGAGTCAGAGTTTGTGCATTCAACTCCGTTCCAGATATTTAAGCCCGTGGTCTGGACAGTTCTTGCACTAACTGAATAAATATTGACAGGGTCCTTATTTCACTTCAGAGTCATAGTCATATAGTGTGGAAACCGACACTTCGGTCCAACTAGTCCATGCCAACCATGTTCCCAAACTAAACTAATCCCACCTGCCTGCATTTGGCACATATCCCTCCAAACCTTTCCAATTATATACTTATCCAAATGTCTTTTAAACTTTATAACTGTATCTGCATTTACAACTTCCTCTGGTAGTTTATAAATATATAAATAAAGGCACAACATTAGTCACCCTCCAGTTCCACACTAACCACTGTGATTTAAAAAAAAAAGTTGCCCCCATGTCCTCTTTAAATCTTTCTCCTCTCAATTTAAAAATATGCCCCCTAGCTTTGAACTTCCCCACCTTAGGGAACAGACCTTTGCTATTCACCTTATCTATGCCCCTAATGATTTTATAAACCTCTATATGGTCACCCCTCTACCTTCTACACTCCAGTGAAAAAAGTCCCAGCGTCTCCTTACAACTCCATTCCCAGCAAAATCCTGGTAAATGTTTTCTGAACCCTCTCATATCCTTCGTATAACTGGGCACCCTCTCACCAGTGTTCTGTATAACCTGAACATGACATGTTAACTCTTATACTCCAAGGTCTATGCAATGAAGGCAAGCGTGCTAAATGCATTCTTAACCACCCCTGTCTACCTGTGACGCAAATTTCAAAGATTTATGTACCCGAGCCCCTAAGTCTCTCTTCTACGACGCTACCCAGGGCCCTACCATTAATTGTATAAGATTCGCCTTTGTTTATTTTACCAATATGCAATATCTCGCATTTATCCAAATTAAACTCCTCTTGCCACTCCTCAACTCATTGACCCAATTGATCAAGATCGCTCTGTAATCTTAGATAACCTTCACTGTCCGTTATATCACCAAGTTTGGTGTCATCCACAAACTTGCCAACCATGCATCCTAAATTCTAATCCAAATTATTAATACAAATGATAGACAAAAGTGGACCCAGTACCACTCCTGTGGAACACCGCAGGTCACAGGGCTCTAGTCCAAAAAAAAATCCTCCACCATCACCCTCTGTTTCCTACTATCAAGTCAATTTTGTTTCCAATCGGCAAGCTGCCCCTGAATCCCATGTGATCTAACTACTAATTAGTCCATCGTGCGGAACCTTGTCAAAGATTTTACTAAAGTCCATATAAACAACATGTACTGCTCTGCCCTTATCAATCTTTTTGATTACTTACTCAAAAAAACTAAGTTTGAGACACGATTTCCCTCTTAAGCAATGCTGACTACCCTTAATCAGTTCTTGCCTCTCCAAAGGCATGTAAATCCTATCTTTCCAGAATCACTTCCAACAACATACCCACCACCAGTGTTAGACTCGCAGATCTGTAGTTCCCAGGCTTCTCCCTACAGCCTGCCTTAAATAAAGGCACAATGTTAGTCACCCTCCAGTTCACCGGCACCTCACTCATGGTTATAGATGATAGCTGTGCTAGTGGCCTGCAATTTCTTCCCTAACTTCCACAACATCCTGGGATACACTTGATCAAGCCATGGACATTTATCCATGTTTGTTTTCCAAGACTTTCAGATACATTAGGGACATTTAAACAACTCATGGATAGGCACATGGATGATAGTAAAATGTAGAGTATGCAGGGTAGATTGATCTTGGAGTAGGATAATAGGTTGGTACAACATCGTGAGCTGAAGGGCTTGTACTGTGCTGTACTGTTCTATGTTCTAAGACCTCCAGCACTTCCTCTTCTGTAATGTGAACTGTTTTCAAAATGTCAATATTTGGTTCCAAGAGTTCTGTAGTCTCCGTTTGCTTCTCCACAGTAAAAACTGACGCAAAATGTTCACTTCATATCTCTCCCATCTCCTGACGTTCAACACATAGACGACCTCATTGATCTTTAAGAAGCCCTATTCTTGCCCTAATTGCTGTTTTGCACTTAATGTACTTGTCGAAGCTTGTTGAATCATCCTTAACATTATCTGCCAAGGCCCCCTCGTATCCCCTTTTTTGCCCTACTGATTTACCACTTAATAATGCCCCACACCCTTTCTACTCTTCAACAGATTCATTTGATCCCAGTTGTCTTTATCTAAAGTACAACTTTCTTATTCGTGACCATAACCTCAATATCTTTTCTCATCCATTGTTCCCTACTCATACCAATCTCACTGTTCACTCTTAACAGGAACCTAATGCCTCTAAACTCTTGTTATCACACTTTTGAAAGCCCCCCTCTTGTCAGTCATCCCTTTACCTGCAAACAGTCTAATCCAATCAACTTTTGAAAGTTCCTGTCACATACCATTAAAATTTGCCTTACTCCAATTAAGAACTTTCATGGAAGGCTTATCCTATTTGTATTTCAAAATAGAATTATGATCACCACTAGTCCCAAAGTGTTCCCCTATTAACACATTGCCCTGCCTTATTTTACTGATTAAGGGGATCAAGGGTTACGGGGAGAAAGTGAGAGAATGGGGTTGAGAAACTTACCAGCCATGATTGAATGGCGGAGGAGACTCAATGGGCTGAATGTCCTAATTTCTGCTCCTATGTCTTATGGTCTATTTCCCAAGAGAAGGTCAAGTTTTTGCTCCTGTAGCAGGTAGAATTAAGTAATATCAGATGGATATGCATATGTAAGTAGCTGGTGAGAGGCCATCATGACCAAGTAGAATATCATGTTAATCAAAAACAGTATTGAAGATAACATTAATTATTTTCATAACTTTAACGTCTAGAACAAAATTTGAAAGCTGATTTTTTTTTTTGTAGGTAATACTGAAAAGCTTGCTGAAATGTATCCAAAAATATCCAAGGCTAAGAATGCTGAACTGCGTTTTCGATGGGTGCAGATTGTTATTAAAAACCACTACGAGGATGCATTTGATGAAATCCAGAATTTCCTCCATAGTCAGGTATGTGCATGAATAAGTTACACTGAAGCTTGTAATCCCTTTACACACTGTGTTCAACGAACTTACTCAAGTTTATGAAAATTCTAATTCTAAAAACATGCTGGATAAAATATAAAAATTGAGTAATTTCAAGGTGCATTGGAAACTTGTCAGATAAATAATGGTAAGTGGAAGAATGAGATCAGACAGAGGTGAATTGAGAATGTGTTTTGGGAAACATAAGGAAACATTGAGAGGAGAAAGACTGGGATCACTGAGAAAGATGGATTGTCTAAAGAAAACTAAGATTCAAGTGGTTTAGGAAGATAATGCAATTATATTGGAGAATGAAAATAAGCATACAGCTGGGACTGAGATATAATCTGCAAACAAGATTGTGGCACATAGAAAAATGTTTGATATGGAGAGTTACGAAGATCAAGATAGGGCAATATTTCTTCTGCTTTCTGCGTCAAATTTTTTACTTGAATATAATACAAAAATGCTCATCATAAACAAAACTGTTAAATGACTAGAATTATTTTTAAATGACCAGAAAAGTCATTAAAGTGATCAGTCTTCACAAGCAGTGTATCTATAAATCCAATGTTAATTCTGTGCTACAAAATGTTTGAAATACTAGTGCATTTCATCATACTGAAAATTTTGTCATTGTGCCCTATTCACAGGGAAAACAAAAGTATACTGTTCCTGTTTATCGAGCGATGTGGTCTAAAAGTGAAAAGACACGTAAACTGGCACAGGAGATTTTTGCAGCCACAGAGAAGCAGCTCCACAAAAATGTTCAAAATTATGTGAAGAAGATTTTTGTCTAACACTTTTATGATTCATCCTATAAATGATGAAGTCTTAAAATTCTTAAAAATTTTCTATTTTACACTTTTTTAAATTTTCCAGCAGACTGTTTTGAATATTCATATTTCAAAATGTCCAACTGTTAAGCATAATTATGCCTTCAAATTTATGTTTATAAAATCAGGTAAAATCAGTGATTGCTTTTGAATCTGTAATCTCTTCGTTAATGAAGTACAAAATTTCCATGTTTCAGTAAGGAGTCCTCAATTTAGTATTTTCCTTAATAGGTTTGACCTGTTAAAGCTAGTAAATTCAACTGTTTGTTGATCCCACAGATTCACCTGTAATCACTTTTACAGTTAACTTAGAAAATTAAAGGTGTATCAGAGAAGTGTAACCAAGATTTGAATCCTGAATTGAGGTCCTAGCATCCAAACATTTTGATCTCTTTAGCGAGTGCATCTATTTAGTATATTCTAATCTTTGTCTTTTCAATCTAATCACCTGGCTGTGAATGAGCTTCAGAACAGTATGATGTAATATTGCTTTTGACAGTTGTCTGTGGGGATGACGAAGAATGTTAGGAGAATCATTACAAAAAACCTAGCTATATCTCCTGCAAGCTTGTCAACCAATAGACTTCTCCAGCATTCAAGGTCCAAACCAGAAGACTAGGAACAATGCTCCTAAACTTAGGTAAATTTCTAAATTTTATAGGGAATCTATTACATTTAAAAATACACAACAAAGTGAAAAACATCATGACTTTCTCGTGAAGGAGTGAACACCCAAAGACTTCCTGAAGCAACTTTGAGGGGACCAAATTTCTAATAAACTAAGATTTTAGTATTCAAAATTTAGTATTTCCTGTGTAACATGTGACGATCTTTCTGTGTTAAAGTAGTAACAATCATTTTACCTGCATAAAATTGTTTTCAGACACACTACCTTGTTATGAGTGGAAAATAAAATGTGTTCTTGGACGGGTGTAAACTAACCCTGAAATAAGGGGCACAGTGGTCATCTGATGTCATAAGGATATTGGCCACAAGGATGCAGATAATTGACTCACTAAGCTAACTGCTCCTAGAAATCAGGTACGTCAGGAGGTCTTCATAGGGTGATCTTTGATATTTTCTCCAGATGGATGATGGACCAAAAGAAGAGGAAGATTTCCCAACTTTAATGAGAACAACACATTTTGTTCCTGTCTGTCGTCTGATATCAGTGAACAATGCCCATATCATGGATACATACTTTTCGTTGTCTAATGAACTAATGTATCAAATCTAAATTGCTGCTTCTAAAGAAACTCAAACACAATGAATTGTCAAATGCCAGGATTGGATAATGATCATGAGTAAAAAAATTCATTTAAAACCATTTTTGGAACTTTTACTGTCCAAAAAAATTTCACTAAGTAAAAAAAATACAGAAAGGAGAGAGTGTTTTTCATATGGAATTTGTGTGAGAGGTCTTTCCAGGTGTTTGTCAAGTGCTGATGGTTCTGGAGATGGATTTTTTTTTTCTGTTTGCATGGATGAAACTCTGAAGATTTTTCTTTTCAACATGTTTATCATAGGTGTTTAACTATCAACAGGGATCAGCATTTCTTTTCTCTGACTGTTATTTGAAAGCTGACAAAGGATTTGAGGAGGAGGCTGAATACAGTTAATGAGAGGTTCAACCACCTGCTTGATTTCTAAAATTTTAAATGTTTTTTCCTCTTGCATGCTTAAGGTTAAAGTCTGAGGGTAAGGAATGTAGTTTTTTTTTACATCTAAGGTTCTGTTCAGAGCTTCATTATAGGCTTAGTGTCACTGAGGGCATACAGGAAACAGTAATAGTTCGAAGACTTAGGTGGTTACATGGCAGGATCAGTCACATGGGTCACTGTCAAGAAAGGTAAGGTAGTGTGGCTGTTAGTTTCAAGCAGATATTCTATTTTTGGGTTCTGTTGAAGGGGATAATCTCTGAGGAAAACAAGTGACAGTCTGATCTTGGGCACTAAGAATGAATCTTATGTTAAGTGAGATTTAAAAGAATAATTGCTATAGGGGCTCGCCTGTCAGAGGCACACAGGAGATTCTGCGGCTGTGACCGTGAGAGTTGAAACATATTTTCAAAGAGGAGAGTGAGAAACCAAAAGTTGTTGTACACATTGGTAAGAACAGCATAATTAGGGAAATGGTTAAGGCTTTGTAGAGTGAATATGGGAGGTTAGGTAGAAGGTTAAAAAGTGGAACCTCAAAGGTCATAATATCTGGTTTATTCCTGGTCCCACGTTCTAGTGAGAGTAGAAATAAAAACATACGATAGAAAAATCAATGCCTTAAGAGATGGTGCAATGTACAAGGATTTAATTATTGGATAATTGGGATTTCTTCTGGTGAAGAAAAGGCCTGTTCAAAAGAGCTTCACCTCAACTGGAAAGGAACCAAAATCCAGGTTGGGAGATTTGAGAGTTCTATTTCAAGAGCCTTTTAAACTAATGGTGGTTGGTGGAGTGGGTGGGTGTGCAAGGGAGGAGAAAGTAAGCAGGATGATGGTAAATATCAAAAAAGGCAGACAAGCAAGTCAGAGAACAAAGTAACTCTGAAGCATTACACCGCATTTATTTCAATGCGAGGTGTCTTACAAGTAAGGATAAACTGAGGGCATGTATGGGACTGGAATAGCTTAGCTATGACAGAAACTTTCCTGAGGGAAAGACAGGATTGGCAGCTCAATGTTCAGGCTTTTAAGTTCCATAGGAAGGATCAAAAGGGAGGCAAGAGAGGAGGGGTGTGGCATTTTTAATTAAGGAAAACATTACTACCATACTTAGGATATTTGAGGGATTGTTCAGGTGGAATTTAGAAATAAAGGTATGAGCACCTTGATGGGATTGTATTGTATGCCTCCCCCCAAGTAGTTGAGGGAAAATTGAGGAGCAAATATATAGACAGATCTCAGATATATGTAAGAATAGGGGATTTTAATTTTCTAAACAATGACTGAGACTTCCATAGTGTTAAGGGCTTGGACGGTGAGGAATTTGGTAGATGTGTTCAAGATAATTTTCTTTATCAGTGTGTAAATGTACCTACAAGAGATGCAAAATTTGACCTTTTCTTGGGAAATAATGCAGAGCAAGTGATCAAAGTGTTAATAGGGGAATACTTAAGGATTAGTGATCATAACTCTTAGTTTTAAAATAGTTATGGAAAAGGAATAAGGCTTTCATAAAAGTTCTTAACCACTAAAATTTGCCTTAGTCCAGTTATGAGACAGGAACTTTCAAAAGTGGATTGGAGCAGACTGTTTGCAGATAAAGGGATGACTGACAATTGGGAGGCTTTCAAAAGTGTGCTAAGAATTTAGAGGCATTCTCTTCCTGTTAAGGCTGGTAAGAATAGGAAACAATAGATGAATAAAGATATTGAGATTATGGTCAAGAATAAGAGTTGCATATTAAATGTAGACAACTGGGATTGACTGAACCTTACAATTGTTCCAAACCCTTTATATTTTAAGAGGAAAATTAGGAGGGCAAAAAGGAATATGATAGCCTTGACAGATAAGTTTAAAGATAATCCAAAGAGGTTCTACAAGTACATTAAAAGCAAAAGAGCAACTAGGGAGAGAATAAAAGATCAATGAGAACATCTGTGTTGAACCTCTGTTGGGAGAGATACTAAATGAATATTTCACATCACCTTCTATTATGGAGAAAGTTGTGGAGGCTGGAGAACTTTGAAAGTAAATAATGATGTTTAGAAAACAGTTGAAAATGGGGTGATGAGAGCCTGATGGTGTTATTGGTGTCCTATTATGCTAAAGACCCAGATAATGTTCTGGGGACCCGAGTTCAATCCTGCCATGGCAAATGGTAGAATTTGAATTCAATAAAATTCTGGAAATAAGAGTCCAATGATAACCATGAAACTATTGCTGATTGTCAGAAAAAGAAAGTTGTGGTTTACTGATGTCCTATAAGGAAGGAAACTGCCATCCTTACCTGGTCTGGTCTACACGTGACTCCAGAACCACAGGAATGTGGTTGACTCTTAACTGCCCTCTGGGCAATAAATGCTGGCCTAGCTAGTGATGCCCTCATCTCATTCATCTCATCAATGAATGAAAAAATAAATTCATGTTACAGAAGAGGAAGTGCCAGTGGACTTGGAAAACAAAGGTGGATAAATCTCTGGGATTCTTCAAGTATATCCCAGGACATTGAGAAGTTAGGGGAGAAATGATGGGGTCCCTAATCACAATGGGTGAGGTACTGGAGGGTGGCTTTATTTAAAAAAGGCTGTAAGGAAAAGCCTGGAAACTGTAGACCTGTGAGCGTGACAGTGGTGGGTAAGTTTTGGACGTGATTTTGAAAGATAGGATTAACGTACGTATAGAGAGGCCACATAGTCAGCGTAGCTTTGTGCGAGGGAAATGTTGTCTCACAAACTTGACTGAGTTTTCTGAGGATCTACCCAAGAATGTTGAAGAGGACAGAGCAGTAGACATTGTTCGTTTATGTGGACTTTAGTAAGGCTTTTGACAAGGTTCCTCATTGTAGACTAATTAGTAAAGTTAAATCACATGGGATTCAGGAGAGCTTGCCAATTGAATACAAAATTGGCTCTATGGTGGAAGACAGAGGGTGGTGGTGGAGGAAGGTTATTTTTTGGACTGGAGCCAGCTGACTGGTAGTTTCCCACAGGTATCGGTACTGGGTCCACTTTTGTTTGTCATTTATATAAACAATTTGGATGAGAATTTAGGAGGCATGGTTAGTAAGTTTGCAGATGACACCAAAATTGGTGGTATAGAAGACAGGTTATCTAAGGTTACGAAGAGATCTTATCAATTGGGCCAACAAACCAAGTAGTGGCAGATGGAATTTAATTTGGAGAAATACGAGATATTGAATTTTGGTAAAACAAACAAGGACAGGACTTATACAAGTAATGGTAGGGCTTTGGGTGGTGTTGTGGAACACAGAGACCTAGGGGTTCAGGTACATAATGCTTTGAAATTTTGTCACAGATAAAGGTGATTAAGATGACATTTAGCCTATGTGCCTTCATTGCTCAAACCTTTGAGTCTGGCATTTGGGATGTTACATTGGAGGTAGTACAGAATGTTGGTGAGGCCTCATCTGGAGTACTGGGTCATCCTGCTGTAACAAAGAATATTATCAAATTGGAGAAGGTTCAGCCGATTTACCAGGACGTTGCCAGGAATGGAGGTTCAGTTACAAAGATAGGCTGGGACTTTTTTCACTGGAAAATAGGAGATTGAGGAATGACCGTACTGAGGTTTATAAAAATCATAAGGAGCATAGATAAGCTGAATAGCAAGGGTCTTTTTCCTAGGATGGAGGAGTTCAAAACTAGGCAGCACATTTTTAAGGTGAGAGGAGAAAGATTTCAGAAAGGACATGTGGGAAACTTTGTTTTTTTGTATAGTGGTTCATATGTGGGATAAACTGCCACAGGAAGTGGTGGATGCAGGTACAGTTATAATATTGAAAAGATATTTCGCTAAGAACATGAATAGGAAAGGTTTGGAGGGATTTGGGCCAAACGCAGGCAATGAGAGACTAGTTTGATTTGGGACCGTGGGCAGAGTGGACTGGTTGGACCGAAGGCTCTGTTTCCATGCTGTACAACTCAGATTCAATAACCCCCAAAATCAAATGTTTAACTTACCAGCATGAATTGTTTCATTGTACCATTGTCTCTTGGATTTTTAATTATCAACTTGTACTGCAGATGTAGATCTAATTTGCTGGCAAACATTCATCAATAATAATTGTTTGCACCGGTACTTGATGTTTTTAAGTTATGGGCTAAGATTATGGAATCTCAGATCAACCTTCATCTCACTGAATATCAAGAGATGTGAGGGAATAAATGGCATCTTTGATCTTAATGGAACTATGGCCAATGGGAGTTTTTCAACCAGCCTTGGATCTTCATTGTCTTCCAGCTTGAACGTTGTAGTTCATTGCATTTATCTCCCAGACATTGTGAAAATACCAAAATAAGACTGCACTTCCTGACAAGTCAAGTCAAACCAGCTGTTGGATTATCCCAGACATAATAAATTTAAGAGGTAGGAGAAAAATTTAAATTTTATATTTATTGAGGATATACTTTCAGAATATTTTAAACAAATGTTCTAAACACACTGGTATTCTTCTTTGTGCCACAATTATTAACTCAATGGAAATTTGGTTAGGTACAATCAAGTGACAAGTTGCTTGATGTACAACTCAGTTCAAAGTATTGAAGGGCAGTGTGAAAGTGATAAATGACACATTAAATTGAAAACCCAATTATGTTAGGTCATAAAAAGGGTTTTTTTTAAAATAAGTGCCCAAATTCCAAACTTTTTCTTCTTACTATAAAAGTAATTTTTCTCTAGCCCAAGTGCATCAAGTTGAACGATAAATAATGCAGGTCAAGTAATTATCACTAAATTAGCCTAATACATCCAATTAAGATATCTAGCAAAATACATTTGGCACAAAAGTTTCATAAGACAAGTGCCCAAAGTATTAAATAAATTAAAACAATGAACGATGATTCGGCCTTAAGTTTTTAATGTCATGAGATGCAACATCTTTTCCCTCAATGTTTTGTGACTTGTGTCCATTCAAATCTGTTTGAAAAGTACTTTGGAAGGAACTGGCTGTTCTGATTATATTTGCTGAATATGAAATGACAAAGGGCAAATGTCAATAGATTTTACCATAGTTTACATATACATTGACCAGAGATTTCTATAAAACTCAGGCATAAAGATAATCTTGGACTACATAACAATTGCTGATAAGGACCTTCATATCAAAGTAAAATATGGGATATACCATATATACATATATTTCAAGGCCATTGGCAGAAAATTATTTTATACATTCTCAAACTTTCCACAATGGCCTTTTCCAATCACACCAGTCCTGCAATAACTCAGATCAGCCACCTTAAAATAAATTGTAACGTGACTACATGTAAGATGGTGTGCTCTTCACAGATGTCTGGAGTGACTTATTTGTTAACATATCTTCTCAGCATCCACAAAGCTAGAAGTACTGCAATGGATTTGTCACTGATATTGTCGATATTCACCAAATGATGGAGTCTGTAGCTGAGTTGGGTCATCTACAAACTGTGGACCTACAAAGTGAAAAGAAAACTTCAGTTTCATTTTTTAAAAAGCATTTTGCTCTAGCTTCTCTGTGGTAACTGCACAACAAACTGATTATTGGTTTTAGTTCAACCCTCAAATTAATTTTATACACTTCTAATATGATCCAATGCAAATGAAAGTAATTGTTAATGTACTAATTTGCAAAATTCTAAAGTTATCAAACATGGCAATTTCTTTAGAGTTCATTGGTCTTTTCAAACCAGTTTATATTGTAAAAATATAAACCTGTATGCAATCTTATTATTTATATCTATAAATTGACTTCATTTTTACTGCAATGGTTAATAGAAAATCATTCAAATCTGGCCTACACAGCACAAGGTAGTTCCTTTGATCTTTTTACTGATTTGTTTAATCCTAATCTTCCCAGGTCTACATAACAATCAAGGATCATCCTTTTTACCTAGCTGCTAAGTTTAAAGAGCCAAGACTGAAGTTCCTTGTTGAGAGCTTCTGCATAGGGTGTAATTGGTGATCCAGGTCCAAATTTACAGTAGGTTTTGGAAGTTATTTTGGTTCCAAACTCTGCCCAGTCATTTACATATCATTGGAAAGAAAACCTTCCATGAATCAGCACAGGTAGATAGGGTTTTACAACTGAATTTTTAATTGCATTACAAACATGCATTATTTAAATGGAGAAAAACAAAGGGATTTGTTGGTACTTGTGCATGAAACAAAATTAGCACACAGCTGCAGCAGGTAATCAGGAAGATGAATGGAATGTTGGCCCATATTTTAAGGGGGTTGAAATGTAAGAGAAGGGGAATCTTACTGCAACTGGAGAAGCTGCTGGGGAGACGACATCTGGAGTACTGAGAGCCATTTTGGTCCCCTTATTTAAGGAAAAATTTTATTGGAGGCAGTTTAGAGACAGTTCAATAGGATGATCCCTTGTATGGAGGGATTATCTTATGAGCAATGATTAAACAGACTGGGACTCTACTCTCGGAAGTTACAAGAATGAAAAGTGATCTCAATAAAACATATAGGATTCTTAAGGGGCTTGACAGGGTAAATGCTGAGACAATGTTTCTCCTCATGGGAGGGTCTAGGACAAGTGGGCATAGTCAATTAAGAGACACCAATTTAAGGCTGAGATGACGAGAAATTTCCTCCGAGGGTTGAGTGTCTTTGTAACTCCTTGCCACAGACAGCTGTGAGGGCAAAGTCCTGGTGTATATTTAAGGCTTAGATGGATTAATTTTCAAATCAGTAGAAGAATCAATGGTTACAAGGAAAAGGCAGGAAAGTGGATGAGAGGAATATTACACAGAGCAGCCATGATCCGATTAAAAGGTGAAGCGGGCTCAAGTAGCAGGACAACCTACTCCTGTTTCTAATTCTTTTCACCTCGATATATCTCGGAGTGGTAATCTGGTACAGAGATAGTAGGAACTGCCGATGCTGGAGAACCTGAGATAACAAGGTGTAGAGCTGGATGAACACAGCAGGCCAAGCAGCATCAGAGGAGCAGGAAGGCTGACGTTTCGGGCCTAGACCCTTCTTCAGAAATGGGGGAGGGGAAGGGGTTTCTGAAATAAATAGGGAGAGAGGGGGAGGTGGATAGAAGATGGATAAAAGGAGAAGATAGGTGGACAGGAGACAGATAGGTCAAGGAGGCGGGGTTGGAGCCAGTAAAGGTGAGTGTAGGTGGGGAGTTAGGGAGGGGATAGGTCGGTCCAGGGAGGACGGACAGGTCAAGGAGGCGGGATGAGGCTAGTAGGTAGGAGCTGGGGGTGGGGCTTGAGGTGGGAGGACAGGTTAGGGAGGTGGGTACGAGCTGGACTGGTTTTGGGATGCCGTCGGGGAAGGGGAGATTTTGAAGCTTGTGAAGTCCACATTGATACCATTGGGCTGCAGGGTTCCCAAGCGAAATACGAGATGCTGTTCCTGCAACCTTCGGGTGGCATCGTTGTGGCACTGCAGGAGGCCCAGGATGGACATGTCATCCAAGGAGTGGGAGGGGGAGTTGAAATGGTTCACGACTGGGAGGTGCAGTTGTTTGTTGTGAACCGAGCGTAGGTGTTCCACAAAGCGGTCCCCAAGCCTCCGCTTGGTTTCCCTGATGCAGAGGAGGCCACAACGGGAACAGCGGATACAGTATACCACATTAGCAGATGTGCAGGTGAACATCTGTTTGATGTGGAAGGTCTTCTTGGGGCCTGGGATGGGGGTGAGGGGGGAGGTGTAGGGGCAGGGGTAGCACTTCCTGCGGTTGCAGGGACAAGTGCTGGGGGTGGTGGGGCTGGTGGGGAGTGTGGAGCGGACAAGGGAGTCATGGAGAGAGTGGTCCCTCCGGAAAGCAGATAAGGAGGGGGAGGGAAAAATGTCTTTGGTAGTGGGGTCAGATTGCAGATGGCGGAAGTGTCAGAGGACGATGCGTTGGATCCAGAGGTTGGTGGGGTTGTACGTGAGGTTGTACGTGAGGACGAGGGGGATTCTGTTTTGGTTGTTATTGCAGGGAGGGGGTGTGAGGGATGAGTTGCGGGAAATGCGAGAGACACGGTCGAGGGTATTTTCGACCACTGTGGAGGGGAAGTTGCGGTCCTTGAAAAACGAGGACATCTGGGATGTCCGGGAGTGGAATTCCTCATCTCGGGAGCAGATGCGGCGGAGGCGAAGGAATTGGGAATAGGGGATGGCCTTTTTGCAGGAAGGTGGGTGAGAGGAGGTGTATTCTAGGTAGCTGTGGGAGTCGGTAGGCTTGAAATGGATATCGGTTTCCAGGTGGTTGCCAGAGATGGAAACAGAGAGGTCCAGGAAGGAGAGAGAGGTATCGGAGATGGTCCAGGTGAACTTAAGGTTGGGGCGGAAGGTATTAGTGAAGTGGATGAACTGTTCGAGCTCCTCATGGGAGCATGAGGCGGCGCCGATACAATCATCGATGTAACGGAGGAAGAGGTGGGGGATAGGGCCAGTGTAGCTTCGGAAGAGGGATTGTTCCACGTATCCTACAAAGAGGCAGGCATACCTTGGGCCCATGTGGGTACCCATGGCCACCCCCTTTGTCTGTAGGAAGTGGGAGGAATTGAAGGAGAAGTCGTTAAGGGTGAGGACGAGTTCAGCTAAGCGGATGAAGGTGTCAGTGGAGGGGGACTGGTCGGGCCTGCTTGACAGGAAGAAGTGGAGGGCCTTTAGGCCATCTGCATGGGGAATGCAAGTGTATAGGAACTGGGCGATCATGGTAAAGATGAGGTGTTGGGGACCAGGGAATTGGAAGTTTTGGAGGAGGAGATGGCGTGGGTGGTGTCACGAATGTAGGTGGGGAGTTCCTGGACCAAGGGGGAGAAAATGGAGTCGAGATAAGTGGAGATGAGTTCGGTGCGGCAGGAGCAGGCGGAGACAATTGGTCAACCAGGGCAGTCAGGTTTGTGGATTTTGGGAAGGAGATAGAAACGGGCGGTGCGGGGTTGGGGAACGATGAGGTTGGAGGTCACCTGAAGTGATGAGGTTGTAGATGGTTTGGGAGATGATGTTTTTGTGGTCGGGGGTGGGGTCATGATCACGGAGGCCGGAGGAGGTGATGTTGGAGAGTTGGTGCCTGGCCTTGGCGATGTAGAGGTCAGTGCGCCATACTGGTAATCTGGTAGTTTTATTTATGCAGTTGAAAGGGAGCTGGAGGAGGAGGGCAATATATCAATGGCATAGGTTAAACAAGGATGAGGTCCTGAAAGCAAAATATAGGCAGTTAGGAAATAAGTTGAAAAGTATGAGCTCATAGATAATGATCTCAGGATTACTACTCGTACCATGTGGTAGTCACAGTAGAAATAGCCACATATCAGATAAATACAGGGTAGGGTTTCAGATTCCAGGAACAGGCTTACAAGTGGGCAGGACTGTGACTGATGTCCTAGGGCAAATATTTACTAATGTGGTTGGGATGTTTAAACAAGAATTGCAGGGGAGTTGGAACATAGGAATTAAGAGCAGGAGTAGGCAATGTAGCCCTTCAAGCCTGCTCCATCATTTAACACGATCACGGTTGATCTTATCCTGGTCTCACCTCCAGAACCCTGCCTGCTTCCCATAGCCCTTTATCCCACTTTTCATGAGAAAAGTCTATTTCTTTCCTGAATCTGTTGATTGATTCTGCCTCTGCTGCACTCTGGGTCATTGAGTTCCACAGACTCACGACCCTCAGTAGTAGTTTCTCCGCATCGCAGTTCTGAACCTACCTTCTCTCACTCTATATCAATGACCTCTTGTTTGAGACTATCCCACATGGGGGAACACCTGATCAATGGCCATTTTATCAATCCCCCTTATAGCATTTTATATACCTCAGTCAGAACGTCCCTCCCCCTCCCATTCTCAACTCCAGCAAGTACAAGTCCTAGCTATTCAACTGTTCTTCATACGACAGCCTTTTCATCCTGGAATCAATCTGGTGAACATCCTCTGAACTGTCCCCAGTGCCACCACGTCATTCTTCAGGTAAGGAGATCAAAACTGGACATAATACTCCAGATGTGGTTTCACTAACATCTTGTATAATTGTAACAACACTTCTTTACTTCTATAATCCAGTCCGTTTGCAATGAATGCCATGATTGCAGTTGCCTTTATTATATACTGCACCTGGATACCTACTGTGTGATTCATGCCCAGATCCCACTGGTGTACCCTCTCCCTTTTAGTTTTCTGGCCAAACTGGACAACCTCATACTTATTCACATTAAACTCCACGTGCCAGATTCTGGCCAATTCTCCTAGCCTATCAATATCTACCCACAAACACACTTCATCACAGCCTGTTTTCCCACCTATTACAGTATCATCCGTGAATTTTGGTATGTTGTACTCTATCCTTGCTTGCAGATCATTTACACAGATTGCAAATAGTTCAGCTCTGACAATTGAACCCTGCGACACCCCACTAGGTAGAGTTCACCATCAGAGATGGCCCATTTAACCCCTGCTTTCTATCAGTCAGCCAATCCTCTAGGATCTAACCTTCTGG